AAAATCGGTAAAGTCGTTTTGGAGGAGTTTGGTAACAAACACCGCGACACGAGAATTTTATATATAAGATATAGCCACCTAATAGTTACTCGTATTGATATTGCAATGCAATGCATTCGTAATTTATATATATAATTTTGGTTAAATACTGGACCGCATAACTAAGTTTGTTTCAGAAAGTTTACTGATTAATAATATTCTTAGTTCACTTTGTAATAAATCAGGAAGGCATAATGATACAAAGCTCTGGAGATTTATCAATCAACGTTCTGTTTCTGACATTTTTGTTCTATCATCGTTATCTTCAGATCGAGACTGACGCCTCCAGTGGAATCAATCACTAAATTCGAGTGAAATTAATATTTTTATATATTTATTGTTCAGATAATTATAACTTTTAGCTAACAAATATAATCATCAATGAATGTATCATCATTATCTTCCTACCCTTATTCCAATTATTGTATGGGGTCGGCGTAATATGTTTTTTATCCATATTACAAAAAGATTTGGCTTATAGTTTTACGACCGTCTGACGTCAACTCTCTTTGGGAACGTATGAATCAAGGAATGTATATGGTACCTTAATACGCCATATTTCAGAATCCGAAGAAACTATCCACGCAGAGTTCAATTAACTATATGAATGTTTGCTATGTGGTACTTGGCCATAATTTTTTTTTAACGATGTAAATAAAAAGGTAATCCAGATTGTGCTATCGGTTTATGTTGGCGGGGTACCAGTGAGGGATAATAGGTGTGAATAAATCCAGGACAGTTGGGTCATCATCGTGACTTATTCACTAGAAATTAACCACTATAATTTTCTAAAGTAAAAGTCCAGATCGACTTTAACGTGGCCCCTTTTAGAAAACCATTTCGAGTTTATTGCTGGCAATAAAGTAGCATCCCGTCTGGTCCCGGTATAGAATAGGCCACCCCTTCTTTTGTCGTGGGTATCGTAAGTGACGACTAAGGGAGGGCGAGGGATGGGCAGTAGCGTCCCTCTGAAAGCATCTCCTAAGCCAAACTGCGGTTGCCAATCTGCCTGCCAAGCGTGGTAACTACTGGTAAAACCCCTGTAGGGGGAGGCTTATGTTCAGCAGTGGACAGTTAAAAGCTGATATGATGAATAAACTAGTTGTTATTTCCACAATCATTTATCATGTACTGTATGCTGTTGAAATGTCAGAGTAATCCGTAAAAGCGATGTCATATTCTTAGATTATCACAGGTTATCACAGAAATAAACACCAATTTAGGGTTTCTATAGTTGTATTACAAGAATGTTTCCCATGTATATACAGGTATTCCACCGCTTCCGTTTTACGTAGGTAAGTCACTTGTCAAGTTCTTATCTTCATTACGGCTAACAACTGTGTTTCGGTTTGAAGGGTAGGATATGGCGTGAATTTACTGGGTACAGAGGAATAACACCTGAGTCCTCAGGAATGGCAACGCATGGGGGGGTATCATGGGCGAAACAGTATACTCTGTTATGTCCATGGTACTGCTCATGTCTATAGGCGATGGTTACCACTTCCCATCAGGTGGGCCCTCAGCTTGTTTGCCATTCTAAGTTGTATAAAAAAAAACAAAAACTCTAATTTTGCATTAAACAGTATCTGTTATCAAAAGCCAACATCTAACCGCATTAGAGAGGATTAAAGTTGCAAACTATTCGTAAACTGTCAAACTTTGGAAAACTGCCAGCTATATTCAAGTATCAAGACAGATTATCATAAAGGCTTATTATAAAAGTAATATCCTAATTTAAATATAATCTCAGCTTTCTATAGTTCTCAATTTCGTTTGGTTTGAGAAATGTATTATATTTATAATTAGAGGGGAATGTCTATAATTATAGCTTTATAGATTTATTAATTATAAAGCTTAAATGTCGTTTTATGAAAATAAAAGGATTTTTAGGGCTCCGTACTTCCTAGGACAAAATAGAACCCTTATAGGATCACTTCTTTATCCGTCCGTCCGTATGTCAAGACCCTATTTCTTAGGAACGCGTAAAGGTATGTGGTTCTAATTAATATCACACACTCAGGTCTGCAATTTCTTAAAGCAGTGAAAAACTCAAGCTTCTAAATCGACGCAATCAAAAGATACGGCCGTTTATGTACCATTGCATGCAATATTGCATATTTTGACATTCGCAAAGGGAATCAAAACCTATAGAAGCAATTTCATGTAGTACTAGTAAAGGAAAAATCCGAAAACCGTAAATTTGTAGTTATTTACAAAAAAAATTAAAACTTGATGATTTTGTACGGAACCCTCGTTGCGCGAATCCGACTCGCACTTGACCGGCTTTTTAGTCTAACTCCTATAATATGCGTTTAAATGTCTTAAGACCAATGTAACAAAAGTATAAAACAAGAACATCGATGCTCCTTTCACTTCGGATTTGCTGGACAAAAACTCTTTTAAGAGTTAAGCTCGCCTTAGTACATTTTCTTACCTCTGACTTTTTTTATGTATTTTTTTAGTGTGTACAATAAAGTATAAATAAAAATAAACAAATAGAATCAGGTAGGTATAGGTAAAGAATAAACATTGATATAAATAGTTCAACTACCTTTAAATGATAATAATGCAAATATATTATGCTCCAATACATATTAATTCTTCATTGAAGCATATGTTTTTTTACGATTCACTTATTTCTTTGCATACGACGTATCTCGTTATACATCGGTCAAAGGTCACTCAATTCAAGAGAATTTCCTGTAGATCCTTTTATCTTTTCCTTACTTTCAGATTCAATCCAGTTCTTTATACCCTTTGCCGCCGCTAACAAGACCTCTGAGAAATTGGCTTCTGCTAAATAAGTCAATACAGAGGCAAATAGTGTTGTCAGTATTGATATTCTGGTTATTATGTTTGTGGCCTTAATATCTACGAGTATATACGAATGAACGGACCTTCGCCTATATTAGCAAACAATTTTAAGCGTATTTATTGGATTTAGTTTGGTTTATAGAGTAATGTAATTATGTTTGGTAATGCTATAAAAATAATTTATTAGCATAATTATGGTCAAAATAGATTTTAATTAGTGTTATAGAATCACATATTTTGCCACATTGTTTTAATGGCGTGCAAAATGGTAAAGTCTTATTTACTTGTATACATTGCAGATATTTTTAGACATTATATTTACAATATTTATTCTATTTACAAATAATAATAATAATAACTAATTATTAATATTCTTTATAATGTCCTATACGATATATTCATTTAAATAATTAAAATATCAAAATCATTTTGTAACAAATTCTTTTATGGAATAAAAACATTTCTTCTGGAGACAACGTTTTAGATTGCCTTTAAAACGATTTAGTGGTACTTTCCTTATATATTTTGGAATGTTATTATATTACTTTATTGTCATAAAGTAAAAATTTTTTTGGTAAAGTGCTTTGGTCAAGTAATTTTATTTTAATAAAATTAATGTCGTTTTTTACGTCGCTCAAATGTTTAGATAAAAATAAAATATATCTATGGTTCATATGTAAATGAAATGGCCATTTATGCAGGCGTTTTGGTGATATCGTAGCGTTACATAACGTATGAATACAACGTTACTGAAATAATATTTTTTGATGATAATTTTTGTAACAGTATAGGTGAAAAGAATAAAGATCAAAGATTAAGAGCTATATATAACTGGATAAGATTATATGAAAAGAACAGGACTATAATAAATCTTTATTGCGTACTAAAAATAATAAAAAGCGAAAATATTAAAAGAGAAAACTTTCTTATCGCTAAAAGCAATCTCTTACAGACAACCTGCGAAGACATTAGTTACAGACAAAGAGAAAAGTCAGTTGGCATACGCCAGATACGCTAAAGTATAATTAATTACATTTACATTTATAAAAATATATATAGAAATATAAAAATACACAAACACGTATATAATTGCGTATCTTCATGTATAAAATTACAGTTGTCATATACAGTACGGATTCATACTTTTTGAATAGGAAAAAAGGATTTATTTTCAATGATATACCAGGTTCATACTTGATGCTTAAAGTGTATTATTTACTATTAAAATAATTATTTGATTAAATAAATTTAAACTGAGATAGGAAATGTAAAAAATTGTAGAGAGACTTAGAAATGCTCGAAGCTTTCTCTTAGCATTAAAAAAAAAAAGTGGGATAGTAAAAGAATGAGGGTTCCTTTCTTTGTAGCTACTGAACAGATTTCGATGATATTTCTATGAAGCCAATAAAATAAAATAAAATCAATACGGATTATAAAACATGGAGTTGTGAAGTAATTTAAAAAAATACAACCCAATTGAAAAAATCCTCTTTTTTTAAGTAGGAAAACAAACAGTATACAAGATTATTAAAAATAAATTAACTTGACATAAAGCTGAGTTTCCATAGGAACATTCGTATTTTATCCTTATACTGTTTACCAAGCCAGATGCTTAAAAGATTTCTCTATATTATTGTAAACACTTCAGGTTTTTGAAATAAATGAAAATTCATCATCATCAAAGTCATTTCAAGTTTTTAACATTTTACATTATTAAATATTTTACTAATGATTATTAATTTTTGTTTCAAATATTTTTTAAGTATAAAGAAAACGCAGTACTTATATACTACTGCGTTTTCTATATACTCTAAAAATATCTCAGCAAAGTGGACTCGTGATTATAAGTACTATAATAACATCAGAAATATTTTATTTAATTTCAGTAAATAAGTAATTAAGCTACGTCTTTTTAAGTGACTTCGTAAAATTTCCCAATATTTATCTCTAATTATAAAGCAATTTTGAGAATTCTTTTTGCAAACGATAGAATTTACTACCATGTTGATTTCATATTAACTTTGTCATGATTGAAACCAATTTTAGTAGCAATGCAAAATTTTAATTGCTGCGGAGTAAAATTGATTCTATCTAAATAAATCAAGAGGAAAAAAATACATAAAATATTTTAAGCCAAATTTACTCACCAAGTTCTTTTTCCGCGTGCATTGCAATAACTCGCTGTACAGGCACTCCGCTTGCTGCAGTCCGACCTCGAAAGTTTTCTGTATAGTACCTATGACGAAATCTCGCATCGACTCTAGCACGGTCTGCTCTCCACTCTCCGATGCATACCTACGACAAATAAATAATTTAGCGGTCTTGTAGCAAAGAGTAATCTTGTGGGGATTGGATGGTTTTTTATACGCTTTCACAGAACAAAATCTTTTATGCTATTTCTTGCTTTATTTTACCAATATGTTTTGAAGGATCTGTAATTTTCAGATGTATTTACCACTGGGGGAGTTAGTAAAAAAATAATTTTATTTTTATAGTATTAAATGTACCCATGCATATGCATGGGTATCTTTATTTCACTTGTTTATTCCGTGAAGCAGCTGCATGTGTTTCCGTTTCAAGGATGAGATATGTAAACGAAATTACGGGGTAGATAGCTATAATATCTTAGTCACCACCAATTTATCTTTTTATTTATTATTTAATACAGAACAAGTGCCCAAGGCGAACTCTCCTTGTCAACCCTAAGGAAGTATCAGAATTTTCGAATGCGATACTGGTATAGTAATATTAGTAAATAGATATACAGATAAAATTATATAAGTAACATATATACTTACACAAACACAAGATATATTACATTATAAACGAAGATGAGAATAGTAGATAACATTTACTGCTAAGATAAAGTATAAAAGTGGCCATGAACCTTTTTCTGAATAATGATTGAGACGGAAGTCTTTTGATGCCGTTTGGAATGGTGATGCATGGGAGGTAGATAGATAGATAGATACTCTTTATTGTTTCATCCAAAAAATTACAATAGTAAACTTATTATAAATATAAACAATTACAAGACATAATTACAATGAGAAAACAAAGGGTGACCGCTAAAAACGATCCCTTTCAGGCAACCTTTGGAAGGAGAGGAGTAATTATAAACAGTTGGATCGGAGGCACGATAGCAGGAGGTAGTATCATGGGATTGACATAATTATTTACGATCTTTATACAAAATACTTAGTTATATAAAATAGTTTAACTTTAAAATATTTACCGTTTTCCATCAGGTGAGACGTCAGCTTGTTTGCCGTTCCAAGTTTTATAATAAAGAAACGAAATTGTTTATTGCTTTGAGCGACATAACAGCTGTATCGAGCCTAAAGAAGCAAAGAGCCAAAGCCAAAAGTTAAAGGTGACTTTTACTAGATGATTAAAATTCAGGTAACTGTACTTTTTCTTTAACAAAGTAGTATAATCTGAAGTTTGATACATATCGTGTTATTTTATATTTCGTAGAATATCGATAGGTTTATTATATATCGCATTGTCATTACATAATGGTTTTTTTACGTCTTAATTATTTAAAAACAGACGGATTGGAAAAAAGACGAAGGTAAAAGTCCGCCTACTTGTTACTTACAATTGTAGCTGCATTTCCAAGAAAATTATTTTTATACAATAAATCTCATAAAACAAAGTAACATTGTGGTTCATATCATATCAGTTGAGTTCATATGACAGCAGCCCCCAAGGGGGAGGAGTACGTTCACTGCTGGACATACGCCTTCCCCTTGGAGGGATTTTCCAGTAGTTGCCACGCTTGGCAGACTTGATAACCGTAGTTAGGTTTTGGTGATGTTTTAAGAGGGACGCTTTTATTTAGCCCTCGACTATTAAATTCTCGTTGTCGCACCTTACCACACTCATGGGAAGGCTTATTCTATGTTGGGATTCGGGATTTCATGGTAAAAAATTATGGTATTAATTGGTAATAATAAATAATGAACATCATCAATTATGGAATAGTAGAATTTACTTTTACAATTAAACAAAATATTATTTTTAAAGGAAGAATAAAATATACATAAAGTATATTTTATATTTATGCAAGCTTCATAAAAAACAGTGTAAAATAAATTAATTCTGAATATATATATATATATATATATATATATATATATATATATATATATATATATATATATATATATATATATGAATATATATACAATATACATAATAAATTGTTATGAAAAAGGCTTATTTATTCTACATCTAGTTTTATTAACTATTCATAGAATCATTATTTCGAGAATTCTGTGTTGCATCTAGGAAATACAATTTTATTTCTATATTTTTGCATCATCAAAAATGTAAACGATATTTTTTATGCAACTTGCATCTTTGTTACTTTACGAGTCGCAGAGAAAATTTCATTACTGTAAAACATAGTTTCTCAAATAGAACTCTGAGGTGAATATTACGAAGAAAAGTAAAATGAGGCTTCCTAAAATAAAAAAGAAGTAAAACCTTTCGTATATCTAGAATATATTTATTTATTTAAAACAAGTAATTTAATCTTTTCTCATTAGTATAATAAAATAGTAAATAGACAATGTCTGTACATGAGAGATATTTAAAAGAACCTAATATGATGGGTTTAGATAAAACAAATACTAGACTTCGTCCGGGTAACTGGGCTATGTTCACTGACCTTGCCCACCTCATATAGTACATACCTGTACACTAAATTTTATACTGATTGGTTATAGACGACTTTAAAAAAAAAAAACACGTTCCTAAATCCGTTCCCGTATTTCATTGTTTTGTAAAAAACTGCTCATTGCGACGCGAAATCTTATACAAACACATGATTCACGTTTTCAATTCAAATGTTTACCACAGAAGGTATCTACAAAACGTCCCACCGTTTACCGGTGTTTGAGTTTACGGTTGAAGTCGTTTTTTCAAATAGCGATACCTACTTGTATTTGTACAGAACTTGGAATGGCGAACAGACGGCCATGATGGGTAGTCGTAACCATTGCTTATAAACACGAATATATACTATATATACTATATATAATATACGAATATTTTTTGAGCGAAACCTTGTAAATATTTATACTCATACATTTTTTAATCTTTGAATTTTGGAGGAGCGTACCCTGTTATTGTAGACACATATGTATGTATACATAACATATATATGATGTTGTGCTAAAATAATATTTAGTTTTTTATCATTAACCTTATAGGCATGCAAAATATATTAAAATCGAAACTAAATCCAGATAGTTAAAGAGCCGAAATAGTTAAAAAAACCGACGTCAAAAATGTAATAAAATTTAGTTTTTGATGTAATTTTTTTATTTTGATGTAAAAACTAAACTACGTAACTGATTTTGATAAAAAATTCTATGGAACCAATTTGTAAGTATATCCATTCAGATAAAGAATTTTCCAAATTGGTTTATTATAGAACTTACGGAGTTGTGAGGTAACAAACGTAAAAAAAAAATTAATTCGTATTGAGAACCTCCTTATTTTTAAAATTAGTTGAAAATTACTTAATTAATAGTTTTCCTCAAAAAATAAATAAATAAAGGGACTACCAAATCGGTTATCTATCCTATGTTAGTATCATTCAAAAGATCTGTCATAGAATAATATATTTTAGATAACGAAAAATCTTTAAGCTTTTTTCTTAAATAGGTCGATGTTACTTATGTCACATTATGTATTGTATTGTATTGTAAAATCTTTGTTGTACATAACTCAGATTAAACACTGGTAAATGATTTAATATACAATGGCGGACTTATCCCATAAAGGGATCTCATACAGTCAACCTTTGAGAAGCTGAAAGAAAACTGTAAAATGTATAAGGGTAATAACCGTACAATAATACCCAGTAAATATAATATTATCACATTGATATAGTATGTTTTTGCAGCAGAGTCTATATTTTTCTCATACATTAGGGATAAAATCAATAGTCTTTCTACGATTTTTCCTTTTACAAAACTAGACGTACGTTAAATTCATATTCTGGAAGAACAGAACCACAGACACTATGAAATGAATGAAAACTTTTAAATTTCGAATTAGCGTACGGTTCGGTTTCGGTTACGTAATAAATACCTTGGACATTAAAGAAAGTTTTACTACTAATGTTATTACTGTTAAATGTCTATAGGCAACGGTTACCACTTTTCATCAGATGGACCGTCAGCTTGTTTGCCATTCTATGTTGTATAAATAAAAAAAATACTGTTAAAGGATTCCGCGATTGATCACCGTCTCACCTGATGGAAAGCGATTGTGGTCTAAGATGAAGCTCACTGTAAGGTATTGTTCTTGTGGTATCTCCCATTTTCATTTCTCAGAAATTATTACCCATTATTTCTGCCTATCCCAGGCATGACGTAGATGTATACACTCAGCCTATTATATTCATAACACAAGCTACAATCAGAGAAGTACATAATCGGAATGTTGTTATAAACTTTGGGAGATTTTGCAAGGGATATTGTTTCATCATTAAGGATTCTCTTTCAATCTAAGTTCTCCGAAAGAGTAGTACATCGTGTAAGCCAATATTGACTCCGGTATGGAATAATAACGCGAATAATATCAGCTTGTATCATGTACGCGTGTAACGCTCGCAGCGACAAGGTAATGTTTACTATACGCCTTTACAGATTTGACATCACCTGATTTGTTTTCTACGAACACGCAATTATAGATTTAATCTAAATACATAAAACAGAGTCGAGTTAGTTACACCTTTTATAATTAAAAAAAACGGCTGAACCGATTTTAATGATCTCTATATTATTGGATTAGTCTCCGCTCTGAATAGTAAAATAACTATTAATATACCGGAAAAATTCATAGGAAAAAATTAGTTAAAGTTAACACTGTTTTTTTATGCAAGTTAAAATAGCAAACAAGCTGACGGTCCACCTTATGGAAAGTGGTATACGTTGCCCATAGACATGAGCAGTACCATGGACATAACAGAGTATACCGTTTCGCCCATGATAACTCCCATGCGTTGCTATTCCTGAGGACTCAGGTGATATCCCACCCTTCAAACCGAAACACAGACACGCAAACACAACTGCTTCACGGTAGAAACATGAATGGGACAGAGGTGCCCAAGCAAATGTGCCCATTCTATGCCGGGATCACACTGCGTGTGTAGTAATACATACTTTAAACAAAATATTAAAATGTTTTCCTGTATAACTGTTCCCAGCTTACTGTTACTTTACGTTCTAATGTAGAAAGAAGAAGACTTTGCCTAACTGTTTATAATGGATGAGTAAGGATAAGATTTACAATAAGGTAGACTTTGAACAAAGGTCGTTTTCTTGGGCACCTCTGTCCCATTCGTGTTTCTACCGTAAAGCAGCTGTGTTTACGTTTGAGGGGTGGGATATGACAGTAAATTTACAGGGTACAGAAGAATAATACCTGAGTCCTCAGGAATGGGAACGCATGGAAGGTATCATGTGTGAAATAGTATACTCTGTTATGTCCATGTATGCTCATGTTTATAGGCGACGGTTACCACTTTCCATCAGGTGGGCTGTCAGCTTGTTTGCTATTCTAAGTTGCATAAAAAAAAATCTTGTATTACAATTGCTTAACGATGATATAATTTTATTTTTTTGCGTCCGTGCTCCAGTAGCAAACATAGCACTCGTTGGTAATTGGTTACTTTTTTCTCTCGATAAACAATGTACTATTAATTAAATGTATAATTAAGTATAATATATAAAACAAAATTTTATTGTTGTGTATGTACTTGTTATAGTAAGGTCACTATTTTCTAATTATTTATTATGTAAGTTTGTGTAATGTATGTATATCATATATAAGGGTTACTCAGAAACTTTTTACGACTGGCTAGTTAGTATTAATGTTAATGAGAAATTTATTTAAATTTCGAATAACTTCTCCGATGAAAACGAAATTTAAATGTCATTAGTTCTATTCGTTCATACAAATTGCCGGCAATTTCAAAAGCGTGTGACGCGGATAACGATTCTATCCAGAATTTTAGATAAAAATTGTAGTAAAAGGAAAAACGTTTGATCCAGGATTACCTAGAAAATAATTGGTACTTGTGGGAGACGATAGGTAGGCGACTTGAATAACTAATGTTTGCGAAATTTTATCATGAGATCCACGAGTGTGTGATAAAAAATAGTACAGTATTAAAGAAAGAGATAGATTATTATTTTAATAATATAATTTAGGTTTTCCCAAGAGAGCACAGCATGGGGTTCTCCAAAAGGGGGTAAAGAGGTTTCTTCAGGGTCAGTAACGCGCGCGTAACACCTCTGGTATTGCAGGTGTCCATAGGCTACGGTAGCCACTTACCATCAGGTGGGCCGGATGCTTGTTTGCCACTTCAGTGGTATACAAAAAATTGACGACCTCGGTTGTGTAGTTATTTAACAGACTGTTTCATCTTTCAATGGTTGCAGGTTCGATCGCCGCATAATAAATATACAAAAAATGTGTGTTCATAAGTAACTTTAGTATGGGTTTTAGTTATGGGTTAGTTATGGGTTTAACGTTTGTATGGGTTTGAGTATTTTCTGTATGTAATTTGTAGGTATTTACAAAATAAAATATTCGAGTATATCAGTTGTCTGGTCTTAGTAGTACTCATAACTAATTATTGTTTTTAATGTATGTTAATGGAATGGTAACCCTGTATGCACTAACAGTATACAATGGTGGGGCACCATTGAGGCGATAGGTGAGAATGAAAAAGCAGGTCATTGGCTAGCAATGGGACTGGTAGCTCGCATTATCAACAATAACTCCCCCCCCCCCACTTTGGTGGAGTGTTAGTGTGGGTCTCGGGGTGGATCCCTTTGGCTTCAACTCTGAGCGCAACTACCCACAGGTCTCTGGGTTTATAGTTCTTCCCTGATGGGTAAGGCGTTGTCTTTTATACTTGTACTGGTGATGGTTAGTGAGCTTCTCTCTTCTTTATATATATATATATATGTATGTTAGCTATTACTTTAATATATATGAACCTTTTTAGTACTCATAGTATAAACTCTATTCGGTTTGACACTAGATGGCGTTGTTTAAGTTAAAACATATTTAGCTACTTACTTGTGTACAAACGCAATGAGGTCAGCCGCTCTCCCGCTACCGTCACACACCACCACCGGGACGGGAGGGTTGTCTGTCACATACTCCAGCACAGCTCGCACTGTATTTGTACCGCCTTCGATCACCAAACACACTACAGGAGTAGACGAGTGGGTATCTGGAACAAAGAATTTAATTTATTTATTTAAATACTTTGACACATTCACTTTTAATATTGATATCAGGTTATAACGAAAATGCCGAGGTTCACCTGTGTAAGGTGGACTTATCCCTTGAAAGGATTTCTTCTAGTCAATCTTGAGAGTTCGAAAGGAGAACATAGTCGTATAGTTTGTATATTAAGTAATAAAATATTAGGTACAAAAATAATATGGTAAATAATAAATTATTACATTATTAATAGCTGTATAATAAGTAACTAAATATAAATGAAAAATAAACTTACAAATACATATAATTATATATATATATATATATATATATATATATATATATATATATATATATATATAACTAATATATTTCGTAGAATCACAAAAAAAAAATTAATTAATGATCAGTCTCATTCATGATCTGTACCCGACCCAAAGGTCCCCATGACACTTGCGGCATTTTCGCCTTGGATTGCCAGAGATATCCTTTGAGCCAGATACGAACCAGAACGGCCACTATCCGCAATGCGCAGACTCAACTCTCTTATAAAGGATTTTGATTCCGCCCGTAGTAATGTGGATTAATTGTGATTGAGTAACAAATTTCCAACTACTACTGATGTTTGTTTTTTCTGAGGAGGGAGGCCTGGTGATCTAAGACACAGGCAGCTCGCTGCCCAATTTAGACGCCAGTCTCCCACAACTGTGTGTAGATTTATATTATTGTTGCCAATTAGTGTATAATATGGTTGTGGTGGAATAATAAAAAAAACCATGGAATTTGATATAGGGTATCATCTTAATCTCTGAACTGTTTCTTTTTGCAATTTACAGGGTCTACGATCATGTGAACAGCGTGCAGCGCGGTTTTAGATGTGTTATTCCTAAAGGATTATCAGATTATAGAACAAGCTCCCTGTCGAGGTCTTCCCGAGAGACTACAGCATGGGATTCTTCAGAAAAAGCGGTAAAAAGGTTTCTTCAAAGTTAGCAACCCGTGTGTAGAATTTTTCTTATATTAATTGAGCTGCTCTCGTTTTTTTTATGTTACAAAGTCATACATAAAACCTACCTAACCTATAACTGTTAATGACATGTAAAATAGTTATTTTTGTATATATACCTAGTAATTAACGTAGTTGTACACGAAATAGTATTATTATTTATAGTGCGGTTATACCGTAATTTTAGAGGTAACTTTAACCTTTATACAATTGTAACATACGGTCATGACGGGGACGGATTATGTCTGTCCAAAAAAGGTAGCGGAAAAGGAAACTGAGTGGGCACATTTAATACTAACCTTCCATCACTTGGGCTTAATGGTGTAAAAAATACATTACGTACAAGTCGCTAGAGCCCAGGACTGTGTTTACACATAATCTGAAAACGCACGCACACACGCACACTGATAACTGTACGTGAATGAGTTGATGGTAGATAAATAGTTAATTAAATATAAAAAAAATTGAAACAATTTAAATTTAAAACACGGAATTGCATTAAAAGTATTATCCCATTCGTGTTTCTACAGTGAAACAGTTGTGTTTGCATGGCTGTGTTTCGGTTTGAAGGGTGGGATACAGCTTGTTTGCCATTCTAAGTTGTATAAATATATATTATATTTAAGAACGTGAAATCGCGTTTTTACAAGTAGATCTTTCTTTGCAACAAGAAGTTTTTTGTTTAGTAAACAAAATTGCATATTCAAAAGTCATAAAATTAATATAGGTCTAACGTAGTAAATATTGTCGATTGTCAAAATTGTTTCAGAACTGGTGACGTAATCGCGTCAAAAAAAAAACTAATTATTAAACATTTTAACTTGAAAATCACTTTTAAAATATATCTATTACACCCAAGTCGTCAGGTACCATAGACAGATTGTTTGTTTTTTTTTTTCTTTCGTATGCCATCTATCTTTTTCTTAGGCCTGTCTCGTACACTCAGTCGAAAATTAAAAAAGTTACCCGATGGAAGATAAGATTTCTTGGGATTGAATGAAATTATGTGCAAGTTTATTTGGGGAAGACTGAATTTTGTTAATTAACTTTTAATTAGGAAGTAAACGAACAAAGGAATTTTCGTAGGATAGAGTCAAAGGAATTCTGTTAGGTAACTGTCGGTGCTTTTAGTGGGCGAGTTAATTAAATCACGTGTAATTGTTTATAGCCTGTACGATTTTATTACATTGTTTGTAACAAAAACAAATTTAGCGAACAATGTTGTTATCTCTATTGTAATGTAACAAAAACGCTTTAATTGGATTAAATGTCTTAAAGTGATAATGGAATCGATATTTGTATATACAGGTTGGCCCCAGAAGTCGACGTCAAGTCGGAATCGGGTAACAGGTTTTTTATGGTTGACAATAAATAGTAACCCCGCTTGCGCTATCGGTATACGTTGGCAGGGCACCAGTGAGGGATAATAGGTGATGATGAAATCAGGTCAGTTAGCCTATCGTGACGAATTCTATAGAATTAACCACGATAGTTTTCAAGGGGTACCGTGTGGAGGTCGACCTGATTGGGTGTATTGCTAACAACGAGGCAGTTAGACCCCATTACTAACAATCCCCTTTCACACTTGGGTCGAGTTTGGCAAGTAATTTTAAAAGATGGTGCATTTAATTCCAAAATGATATGAGACTTGCTAACTTCGTCAACATCTGAGACATACAGGCCATGGTCAGGTCAATGTCCTGAACATTGACCTGACCATGGCCTGTATGTGAAAGTTTGTGTTAATGTTTGGTTATTTGTTAGATAATCACGAACGAACAGCGGAAAAGATCATATGGAAACTTCTCACAAAGATGAATCATATTCTAGATTAACATATAGGAAATTATTACTTCTAATATGTAAACAAATATGCGTATTATAAGTATCTAGTTTATATAAAAAATAAAATTAAAATATGAGAATACTTTTTTAAATAAACTGTTCTAGTTACTAAAACATATTTTATAAGAAGAAAATTATTAACGTTCAACCAATTAATTATCTAATTAAATCTAATCAGAGGTTGCATTGTTTTATTAGAAAGCTGCTATCGATAGTTGCCTTCCATTATTAATACCAGAGAGAGACTGTACAAAAGTCGATTGCTTGGGTACCTCTGCCCCATTCGTGTTTCTACCGTGAAGCAGTTGTGTTTGCATGGCTGTGTTTCGGTTTGAAGGGTGGGATATAGCGTGAATTTACTGGCTACAGAAGAATAACACCTGAGTCCTCAGAAATGGCAACGCATGGGGGGTATCATTGGCGAAACAGTATACTCTGTTATGTCCATGGTATTGCTCATGCATGTCTATAGGCGACGGTTACCACTTTCCATCAGGTGGGCCGTCAGCTTGTTTACCATTCTAAAATGTATAAAAAAAAATTAAAAAAATTTAACACCAGAGGGCGCCATTTTCATACGAGCAGTAGTAGTTACTTATGATTACTATCTAAACAAAGTTGCGAATACAACTAGCGCTATATACAAATCTATTCACGTAAAACCCTTTCGCTAAAAACAGAAAGTTGTCAACTATCTAAAGCTACTGTGTCGCGCATCCCTATTTCCGTTCGATTCTATTTCATTGAAATGGGAAGATGTCATAAAAAAAAACAACATAAAAAAGCTCAACACAATTTTATGACAAGGAATAAAGCTCGGAATCAGATATAAAACTCGACAGGTGGGCGTAAGCGCCACTGAAACATTTATTAGATTAGTATGTAATGTTGACAGTTTATGACGTGCAGACATTGTGATACCGAATATCCTTGTATTGGTCTTATGGCTTGATTTATGGATCGATGTTGGATGGACTTAAAAATAGAATTTATATTCTGTCGGTTATAGCTTCTTGCGGGCGACACTTGATATTCTATTGCAGTTTTCATAGCAACAAAACTGTGTTGAAAGATTTTTGGAGTCTCATTTGACCTAATCATAATTGATATGCGGGCACTAATCAAGAGCACAGTTTTCTACATCTTTCTCGAAAGTGAGTTGCCTTGTAATTCCAACTGTCTGAGGTATTGTTCAAGACTGGTTGGGATAAGATTTACCAGAAAGAGACTGTACAAAAGTCGTTTGCTTGGGTACCTCTGTTCTATTCGTGATTCAACCGTAAAGCATTTGTGTTTGCATGGCTGTGTTTCGGTTTGAAGGGTAGGATATGGCATGAATTTACAGGGTATAGAGGAATAACACCTGAGTCCTCAGGAATGGCAACGCATGGGGGGTATCATGGCCGAAACAGTATACTCTGTTATGTCCATGGTACTGCTTATGTCTATAGGCGACGGTTACCACTTTCCATCAGGTAGGCCATCAGCTTGTTTGCCATTCTAATTTGTATAAAAAAAGAGATCTTTTACCGAGAGAATGATTGGAATGATTTCAGTGCGTTTGCGTCTCTACATTTTGACCACCTCGTGTGCCAAGTCGAGATACTTCTTCTTCTTCTCGGTTTCGACTTTCACGAGGTTCTCGTTATATGGTATAGTGACATCCACCAAACATTATGATTATATTTATATTTATCAATGTCAAAGAAATCTCATTAGTTCCAATTTTCTGCAAGTTTTCTTTAATACATTTGTTGTTGTTTGTCAATAAATTAGTCAAAGTAATTCAAGCATTGTATATTTTTTGGACTTAACAATGTTATGCTTAATATTTGTTTAACAGATATTAGCTTTTAGTTTTATCTGTAAAGTTCAGCGAGCTGGAAGGTTAATTCAATTTTCTTGCTCGAAATTGTGACTAAACTTTCTAGACTAGTATCTGGGGACTTCGGGTTGGAAATTGCAATAAATATGGTAGGTATGCTTCGAAGACATTTTCTAATATAAATCTATAAAATTCCAATAATCATTATTTACAAGGAAAGTGTCTGTTAAATAATTAGTGTTTTTTTTTTATTATTTATACAGGGGATAAACGAGTATGCGGTACCTGATGGTAAGTGACTACTTCCGCCCATGATCACCCGCAACACCAG